TTTGCTAATTCATATTTACATAGATTTATATGACTAAATTTTCAATCTATTCAATACCCGGATATCAACTGGATTCAACATTATTTATTCAAATATTGTAGTGATTATTTGTAAAATGCGCCTTGTTAATACCATGTGATCAACAGTGCTAGATTCAATTTGAATCATTCAATTTTCACTTCAAGCTTAATTTTTTTGCGATTTTTTCATATAAATCTTTTCTTTTTGATCCATTTTGCCTTTTGAAAAATTAATCAGGTGAATTTGATCGATAATTTCGTGTTAAAAGATCATCATAATGGGATTCACTATCAATTCGTGTATGCCTTTGAATATGATGCTGATTTAATGGAATCTCTTGTTCACAAAAGTTAAGTCTATTGGCAGCATAAGGTGAGGTATAATAAGATCCATAAGTTGCTTTACATTGAACTGTTTCATAATTCTTTTTACCTATTTTAATGAAAAAGATGGATGTTATTATAAGATAAAATAGTTAATCATGTGCATCATAAAGATTATCATGCAGTTCATTTTTTAGCCTACCTGTTCCAGAGGATTCAACTGGAAGAGCAAAAGATGACATTGATAAGCTTTCCATTTTATTTCGCTCATTATTGTTATCTGTGAGCATTTGAGAAAAGAGAAAAACAGAAGTTTTTAACCAAATTTATTCATTATTATTAATAAACTAAATATCAGACATCAATTTAACTTAAGAAGTTTCAGAAGCATTTGAAACCCTGAAATATCATCAACTTACAGGTCTCTTGTGATGCATCAGTTCTTTGGTGTTTGGTTGACATAAGTATGGCAACTGTGATAAAGATTACAATAAACACTATAAACGCACACAGGATTGGAGCCAAAATTACAGGATCACCAAAACTTAGTTCCCAAGTAGAGTAGGAAGTTGATGTTAGAGGAGGAATCGTACCTTTATGAATGGAAATTGAAACGGATTAAATAACCTGGTTAATAGAATTGATAAGAACTTGAAAATATTCAATCTTACCTCCGGTTAAAGTAAGAGTGGCAAATAAATATTGAGCTTCGGTTGTTCCTGGCTCTGAATTAGCAATCATAAGTAAATCATACCAAGTTGCTGGAATCAAATCAATGAGGATTAATTTTCCTTGTGAAGGCATGATATTGTTGGAAAACATTATCCAATCATTTTGAAAATGTTGCTTGTATTGAATCACAAAAGATATAATGGGACAACCATTTTCATTCCAGGCACTTAGATCGATCAAGGCACTTGTTGAATTAACATTTATCACTGTTTCCAAAGGTCCAGATGAAGGCACTAGATAATTTGAGAGAAACAATGTTGATTAATCTTGAAATTATAGTAAATGAAAAAACGACGATGCCAATATCAATTAAACGTTTCCAATTGCATCAATTAACTTACCACCACCAGAAGTTGTTGCATGAAACATCTTGGTATCAGGTGAAGGACCAGCTTTATTATAAGGAGTAATTGAAATTGAATATTTTGTACCACATCTTAAATTTTCAAGCACAAAATTTGTTCTAGTTCCCAGTATTTTGACCTCTTCCCAATCTTCCGTGTTGCTCTTGTAATTTACAATAAAACCACTGATTGGATTTTCTTGATTAGTACCTTCAATTTTAATAGTCAAAGATCGATGAGTTACACCAGTTACTCTTGCAGTTACTTCACCAGGAGGATCTACAAAGGAAAAAATGAAAGAAAACGAAAAGAGAGAAAAAAATTATTAATTTGAATTGCAACTGAAGTCAATTGATAAACTTCAATTGATTTAGCTTTCAAATACAACCAATAGATGACACTACCAATTAAATAAAAAAGGTCAAACTTAGAAAGTCCGACTTACCATATTCAAGTGTTTGACCATAAACCTCTTCCGATGGAACGCCTAATCCTTTTTTATTGTACGGCCTAACAATTATTCCATATTTTGTGCTTCTTTTAAGATCCGTAAGATTGTAATTAAGCTCTTCCAAGCCTTTCATAGTCTCGTTGAGGTTTAGAGTAACAAAGTCAAATGAGTTTCTCATTGAGTTAAATCCAGTGCTTTTTCGATAGCCAATATGAAAGCCATCAATTTTCCTATTCCGACTAAGATTAGACCAATAGATTCTTAAAGACCGTGAACTTAACGCTTCAGCTCGGACATTTGTCGGTGCTTCATTAGGGGCTAGAGAAAAAATGAAAGAAACGTTTAACTAAATGATACAAGTTTCTGAAAATACAAAAACTGGATTCAAATGCAATATTGTAATCTGACATTTTCACAGTTAAAATTATCATAATAGCTATATATTTATGAAAAAATTTGTTGATTTTCATAATATGCAAATTGGGATCATCAATTGTTCAATATAATACAATAGACTGCTACTTGCAATAGATTAAGATAAATTCAAATATGATATAAGTCAATAAAAGTAAATATAATGATGATGGTGAAAGAAGAGGAAAAAAAACAGTTTCACTCTCGAGAATTGAATGATGACCAAAGCAAGAGTTGGTTAACGACTTTCTTGACCTTATCCAATATAAGGTCAACAAGTTAAGATAAGAGGAAAGTGAAAAAGAAAGGGAAAAAATGCTGTGGAAATAATGGTTAAGGAATTTCCTTGGGTCTTATTTATCACTTCAAGTGCTTATATCAAAGGTGAGTAATATAAATGTTGGGAGTAAAGATGAGAAGAGGAAGAAGAAGAAAATTCCACTTCTAATGAGTTAAAGAGGGAAAAAAATACTGATAGACTATGAAGAGGCTAGAAAATTGATAATAATGATGATAATGTTGATGAAGGGAAGGCAAGTTTCTATTAGTTGGTGAATGGGAAGGTAAGCAAGGTAAATCTTAATCACACTGTCAATGAATAAAGGTTAAATAAGGAATTTAATTTATTTATCATCCTTAACTGTTTGTGCATACACATATTTGAAGAGAAGATGATGAGACATGATAAAAATAAGGATGATGATGATGGCGATAACAAATAAGCTTATACAAAGAAACTTCAACTAAAGCATGTTCAAGCAATTGATTGGGTAGGGAAAAAAGTTGAGTAAACAGTTGTTGATTGTTTTCACAATCATTCTATTAATCAAAAAAGTAAATTATTTCCTCTTTTTGTCCCCTTTTCAGTAATAATAATGAGCCCAGTTTGTTAACTAGATCATCATTATCGTTATTATTGATACTTGTAAGGTGAAAATTAGTTGAACAAGTGTAAGTGAAAAAAATTGAATAGCATTTTTTCACCGCCAAATAGCTTTACCTGACAACATAATTTTCAATGGTTTTAGAATCAATGAATAATGGTGAAAATGTCGATTATTAGATGATTGAGATGGAAAAAATTACCCTCTTCTTCAGTGCGAATGATGGTTTCCTGGCTTGGTTTACTTCGACCGAGAGCATTTTGAGCAATAACTCGAAATCGATACAATGTTTCCGGCATTAAGCTTGTAATAACAACTGACAAATCTTTAGGATCAACGGAAGCTGTCTCCATGGAATTGGTCCAAGTTTCTTTTCATGGTTAATTGATTGATTGGGTCAATTCAAGGAGAGGGGACGAGAAGAGGAAGAAGAAAAAAACAGATCATCATTATTATGAGACCAACAATTGACAAGAAAAGTGAAGTAAAAAACAAGCAATTGAATTGAGCCAATGATGAATGTAATAGGGAATGGAAGATCTGAAAAGCTGGTTAAACTGTACACTCTTATAGTTAATTGAGATGGTTGCAAGTTTATAGTTAACAGATTAGGAACCATTTATAGACAAACTAATGGATAATTAATCAGTTGAGTGTGGTTATTGAGGAAAAATAGAGAAAGGAAAATTAAGAGATAACAAATGGCAATTATTTAAACATTTTACCATTTGATGTCGTGTATTCAACGATGTAACCTAATAACGGACTGTTTCCATTGACTGTTGGTAGCCAAGACAGTGCAACAGCTCGACTTTTAATTTCACCCACTTTAAGGCCTGTCGGTGGTTCAGGTGGACCTCGGACAACCAATTGAATATTTTTCTCGTCTGCTCCATAAACATTTTGAGCTTGACATGTGAAAAAGGCTGAATCGACTGTATCAACTGATCCTAAAATTACTTTACTCAAAAGTCCATCGTCACTTCGCTCCTCTTCAATCTTGATATCGTTATCACCAGGTCCGGTAAAGGGAATCACAATTTCTCTATCTCGAATCCAAGATAGAGTTATCGGATGATCACCAGAAGCTAAGCAACTCAACATTACCGAGTCTCCTTTGTTTGCTTCAATTAGTTCAAAGTTTTTGTTAAACTTGACAGGTTGATGGACAGTGAGACGCGTAGTAGCTGACAAAGGTGGACCAACATTGTTGCTTGATTCACAAATGTAAACACCATCATCTTCCTTGGTTATCCCAACAATAGATATTGATCCATTTTCAAGCACTTGAATATGAGGACCAGAAACAATCCCAACCAATTCACGACCCGAATGATCAAAAGGTTTAATTCCAGTTTTAACCTTCTTCCATTGATGAGTTGGCTGTGGATAACCATCAGTTTGACAGTCAATGACAATGTTACGACCTCGCAATAGCGAGTAACCATCTTCAGGTTTGATTATCCATCTAGGAGGAGCTGCAACAATTAACCAACAAGAATAAGAAAAATTAATAACAGTTTTTAAAAGCATAGAAACGCCAAAATGTCACCTTTAACAATCATTTCAGCTGTGTAATTTGATGAGATGTTTGAAGATGAAACAACACAAGTATAGTTTCCAGAATGGGATCTTTTGACCGATTTGATTCTGAAACTGGAATCGGAATCGGAAAAACTAGATACTTCAATGTCATCATGAATCATGGAAGCAGGCGAACCTTCCTTGAGCCAAGTGAATGTTAATGGTGGGTCTCCTGATAAAATGCTGCAAACGACTGTTGCTCTCATTCCTTCCGTCAAATCGGAACCAAACATGAATGGATTAATAACCGGCCTCTCTGGAATAAAATCAAACAAATCAAATCTTAACAATTAATAAGAATTTTTTTGTCTACAGAATTTACATAACACTGTAAATTGAAAGTAGTAGGCGAAATTGATATTGTTTCAAATTACCTGTAGCAATAATTAAAAGCATTTTATTAGCAGAGACAATTAAGCAAGCAAAATATTACCAACATAAACATTTAGAAGACAAAAAAGCTTCATGGACTTTTCCTTAGAGAATCATTAAGTTTCTGTAGTTAACTATTACATTATTTCGGGACTACAATTATCTTTAAAGAATAAACGAATGACCTTTATATACATGAAGAACCTTAAACATATCATTAACATTATTATGGTCATTTAGTTTGATCATCTTTATCAACTTAACATCTAATATAGTTGCTAGTTTGTTTTTATATTATCATTCTTACATGATATTAGTCTACAGTAATATCATGTTACTTCAAGTTTACAAAGAAAATTGAATTCAATGAGAATCGTCATCAATTCAATTTGGAATCTTCCTTTGAAATAAAAAAGGTTCGCTTCTAATTCAGAGCTAAAATGGCTACTTTTTTTCAAAGTTTGTTAATAAATTATCATTAATGTGTCCAGAGCATTAGTTTTGGTGAACTCTCACACAAAAATACACAAATTAAACTTTGAATTAATCTGTTGCCATTGCCAAATTAAATATATAAAAACAAGATTAATTCAAAGTCTACCAAGTTTTAAGACTTATATTAAAGATGATGTAAACGGAGATCAAGTTGATGATGATGGCAAGTAAAGTAATACAAAAGTTAAATCAAGATGGATAACATCATCACTTCAAATAGAAGTCATTTTACTCTAATTATGATTATCTCAAGGGCAAATGTTAACTTCACTCTGTTTAACCTTTACAAGAGCAAGATCAAGATGATGATGAAGATGGAGTAAATAAAAAACAACTCAGGAAAGATAAACTGGACTCTTAACCAAAATAAATACAATATTATATTAACTAGTATTAACTTTGTTGGTTAAATGTTTTTACCCTGGTAACATTTAACTGTATAAAAACCAATCAACTATCAGGTTAACATCAACAATCACTTATGGGAATTGTATGTTACCAGGAAAGTGAAGAGGAAGAATGAAAACGGAGAGAAAAAACTAGAAATGCGAATAAAAAATAATGTATCAAATCATGCGAATATGATTCAATCACAATCAAGAGTTAATTTTAAGCAATATTTGTACACAACGAAAGTGCCTCAAATTGTGGACAACGCAGACAGAAAAGGAAGGGAAAAGGACGCGTTGATTAACTGGGTAAAAATGATAAATCAAAATGTCTAATGAGAAGTTGTTTGAAATCAAATATCAAAAAGGTATCGATAGATTTGACTTAATGATGACTAGAATGATGAAGACTTTGATGGATGATGCAACTTAGTTGAAAGACACATCATCTTCCTTTTGGTCAGTCCATATTTTCATTTCTTGCAAGTTAACTATTTCCTTCTCCACCTCCTCTTCATCCGCATCTTTCAATGGCAAAAACCAGCGTAAAAAGAAAGTGAAGGAATAACCTCAAACGTGAACAAGTCAATACTGTTGGTTTGAACTTCATCATCAATTAGCCTCTAGTTTATTGGTAATGGAAGATTTTGATGTTGATGATGATGATGAGAATTAGAAAGAAGCAGCTTTAGGTTAAGTTAATATCACAAAAGCAACCATTTTCATTGAGGATAAAATCAACCAAAGATTGACCATTATTAAGAAAACTCTTGTCTCTTTTTTTTCTCTACTTTTCTTTTACCACTTCTCCTTTCATCATCATCATCGTTTTCCATCTTCTAACATCTTCTTCAGATAAACAGATGAAGAGTACGAAAAAGGGAGAGTGAAAGAGGAGAAAAAAAGAGCAGAGAGGAAACAAAAGACACAATAGAAATATCTTAATTGGTTAGAATGGTCTATCTATGGATGTTTGGGTAAGCTGTGAAAGAGGTAAAAATGACATCAGTTTTTGTCTGAAAGCATCTTTTCCCATCCTCATCTTTTTATCTATCTTCCTGGTCTTCTTTATCTGTCCTTTCCTTTTTCTCATCCTCGACTTTTTCTTGCAATGCCAAATGAAAATGAACGTCTCAACCAGTAAAAGAGGAAGAAAAAAGGAAAAGAAATGAGTCCAAATAGATTTATCTCAACAACAGGGAGTCATTATATTATTATTGTTAATAAAGATAACAATATTTTAGGCTGGTATTATATTTTTAGATTATAAAATAATGATAAAATAGAAAAATAATTACCTAATATGTGAACATAAAGTGATCCCTGGGCAGTTTCTTGGCCATTAGATACTTCACACCGATACCATCCTTGATCATCCAAATGAACGTCAACCAGTTGAAGAGTGCCATTTGAATGACGAGAGACTCGACGTGATATGGGTAAAGGATGACCATCTAAGATGATTGTATCGATTGGGGAAAAAAGCAAACAATAAATTGACCATCAATAATTAATCAACAAAACTAAAATGAAAACAATTTTTCTCATTGTTTTTGTCGCCATCTCACGAATGAAAGGATTAATTAATAAAAGGAGGGAAATTAATCCCGCTCTTTAAATTGTTGAGACTAGATAGACAGGAATGGATTACAACTTGTATCGGATCATTTTTAATCTGTTATGATTCAAAAATTTTATAAATAAATTAACATCAGACATCTTTTAATTAATAATTTCTTCTAATTATTATTCGTAGTTTATATACTTAAATATTTAGCATTTAGTTTATTTAAGGTGAGTTACTATTGCACTTGAAATGTTTGAATTTCATTTTGAATAATGTTTTGATTTTTGCTTACTTTTTTTCCAGGTTATGGTACCAATGGGATGACCTGAGAATGGACAATCAATGGATAACCTTCCAGTTGAAAGTATGGTAACATTGCTCATTGGATGAACCATTGGAGGACCCAAGATGCTTATTGGTGCTGAATATACCGACTGTCCGATATCATTAAATGCTATACAACTGTAAAGTCCACCTTCTTCCCGTGTGATGGATGAAACGTTAAGAAAACTAACAATGTGTCCATTAGTGTCAACATAATCACCAATACGATAACGAGACCGATGAACCCTGCTGTCAATTGTCTTATGATATAATGACCATTTTATTTGTGGTAATGGACTTCCATTGGCACTACATTTAAGGCTTAATGAGTAACCTTCCTCTAAAAGTTGACTTTTAAAAGTTGTCATTAATCTTGGCGCTTCTTCTACAATCATAAATTGGATGGAAAAATATTGATCAGTGATTAACGAAACAAACCAACAGCGATGAAACAATTGGTGTAACCTTACCTTCAATGTGAAGATGAAGTGTTGAAAATGCTGTTTGTCTCAAGGCTCCTTCACTTTTGACTATACATTGATACATTCCCTTATCTTCTCGTACAACTGACAAAATTCGTAACTTGTTTCGACTGGTTAATGATATTCGAGATGTGAATGTTAATGGCTTTGAATCTTTTAACCATTCAAATGTATAAAGGCTCATATGATGATCACGATTAGGCTTAATTAAACAATCAATTGAAGCAGGTTCACCCTCTCTTCGTCTGTACAACTGCGAGGGTCTCATTGATACAGTTAATGGCTCTGTTGGACGTGAAAAAGTATGGAAACGCAGAAGATGAGAAACATTGAATATTGCTGTTTAAAATACTATTAAACCTGGAAAGAAGTCGCTTATCAACATTATTACTTGATTAAATTTCAAAGAGTAATACTTTGTTGTTATCATCTTCAACAATTAAGCAGGAAATTTAAGGAGGAAAACCAAAGAAGCAGTTTAAACAAAAGTAACGATTAACAAACTAAAAACCAGTGTTAAGTGTCTTTTACTTGAGTGGAAAAAAAGATTGCCTTTGAAATGTTGTTAAGGTAATTTGAAAAATTGAATAGACTAGAAAAGTTGAAAGAATGTAATTAACTAGAATGTATTAAATACAGATGATGATGTGAATGGAGTAAAAAAGAAGATAAAATGATTGAATTAAGTGACAAAAAGGCAGCAGAAAACTGAACAATCAATAAATTAGTTCAATGATGGATGAATGTTTACCGATTATCCTGATGATTTTAAAGTTTAGCTGTTAAAAGTTGGATGAAATTACCTTTAACTAGAAGCCTGATTAACATTTGCAAACCTAATATTCTCAACCTAATAATCATCATCATTATCTTCATTTTTCATTGAAAAGTTTCCCTGATGAAGTGAATGACAAGAAGCAAGAAAAAAGAGCGATTGAAATAATGATTAACCCGGAGTAAATTAAATATCTGGTGAACAAGGAGACGATTTTTTCACTTTCATCTCATTTCGCTCAAAGACTATCCGATAAGATGACATATCAATCAAGAAGTGATTTTCACCAGGATCATCATCACCATCACTGATCATTATCCTTTACAATGCTAAACATCAATGAGGCAACATTAACAATTAAGGCAGCAACACAAGATTCAAGTCAAAGACCAAGTGATAATAAAGGTTGCCATGTACAACAAAGCTGTTTCAACTATTCAATCTTATTACATTCTCATCATCATCACCACCATAATCAATGAATGTTTAATTGTTTAAATTAATTGTCAAGCAACTTAATAGACTCACTTTGGCCTGTCAACTTGAGATGGTCTTAATTAACAAAACACTCAACAGCCAACCAAACAAGACAGCAAGCAAGCAACAAGAGGGAAAAAACGAAACACAACATTGTCTAAAGAATAATTTATCATATCAAATATCATTAATTAATCAACATTTTCATCCAAACTCTTCTCTCTCTCTCTTTCCACCAAAATAATGTAGTTACCCAAACAATCAAAACAATCAGCTTGCTAATTGTCCTTAAAAAAGCTACAATTCTCATCACAGCAACTCTTAATTAACTTTCAACTCAATGAATATTCAACTGACAATCAACATTTTCCGTTATTTTTCACTTGAAACTAAAAAATCTTATTACAATTCAATGTCAAGAGTTTTAAAATTTGCTGCTGCTTTTTTTCCTCATGATATTGTCAAATGTTTACCATTATTTGCTGTTTGCTTCATCTTTGATTTCACTATAAAACTAATGGAATTCAAAAGTGCTCAAAGCGTTACATTTTGACAAATTATAATCTGAATAGAGGTTCAAGTTGAAGGCAAATAATTATAATAAAGGTGAAAGGTAGGAAAAGGCAGCAAAAAAAAGATGAAAAAAGGAAACAAATATTGTGATTATTTTGCCTATTTTCATCTATTTCAACTGTTTTCTGACAAAATGTAATGTTAACCCTAAGGGTAACTAGATTGGTTTGTAAAGCCATAACACAACTGAATAACTCAATAATAAAATTTGTATTGCAATGTGAGTGAACAACAAAAGTACCAGTACTATTGATAAAGGATTGAAATTGTTGAACAAACTAATCAAGACTGTTTAAACAGCTTTTTACGACTCAAAAGCTGAAAATAATGTAACTCTGTTCAACAGTTTCCACAATTTTCCTCAATAGGTAAGTTAATTGTCCTTTTTGTTGAGCAAATTAATTTTTGTTCATTTGGCTTTCAAAAGCATGTTTCAACTAAATTAGACGTCATTTGCACTGTTTTAATAGTAAAACAATTGTTTAAATTGATTCTAATTTCACTTTTTATCCAAAGCTTTTTGAAAATTTACTACAATCTATTATAATTTTTCTGTTCTCTTTTTTCAGAGTTTGGGTTTGACTTACCAATAACATTTAGTTTAAACCGAAGGCGATCTTGGCCAAGACTGTTGTTTACCAGGCAAACGTAGACTCCTGAATCTTGAATTTGAACTGAACGTAAAAATAAAATTGGTCCATGTGATTGGAGAGTCAATTGGGAAGAAGATGAACTCGATGAAACTGACGGTGATTGGGAATGTTTGAGCAAATTGATTGAATTTCGCGGTCCTTCACGAAACCAATAATAAACTGGAACTGGATCAGCTGAAGCTAAACAGCCAACAGTTACATCCTGATCCATGTTAATCCACAAATCTTTAAGTGAACCAATCATTCTTGGAGCAGATTTCATGGTTGAATCTGTGAGAGGAAAATGACAACAAAAAATGATCAATCAAGAAAGCTTCAAATGAAAGTCAAGCTAAACCAGTTTCAAAACTTAAATCCTATTCAAATGAACTATTCAAAAATTTCTTGTCACAATTATATTATATCATGTTGGTAAAAAGATGAGTCTTTATGTACCGTTCAGTTAATGAATGCTTTTTGGTGAAAATTTGTTCATCTTCACAACGGCATAAGTTATCAATATGTAACAAACATCAACCAATCTGAAAAAGTTCACTTCCAGAAAACGACATTCAAAAGTCAATTAGAGGTCAAATAACTGAATGACCTAAAGACTCTGGATTTATAGTTCTTCAATTTTGGGAGTTCGTCTGACTGAATATCATAAAGATCGAACCTCTGGTTCAAAGGTTAGCACAAACGACCGTCAAGGGTGAAAACACTCAGTACTTATCCATCGCCATTGGACAACCTTTGTCCATTTAAATCAGAACATTTAGAACGTCGAAAAAGAAGAAAACTTTCAACGAAATTTTCTTGATGTGATAGTTGAATGCTAGTAAATATTTCAACAGTTTTTATTCATGTTGAACCTTTTCCATTGTTATTCAGATTTGAGTGAATGAACATTTACTCTTTGCACCATCAATGGATAAATTAATATCAAACAAATTATTTAAAGAGCAATGGCAAGATAATGATAAGCATGAATGTGAAATGATGAAAAGGTATGCATTACTGTTGATAGGAAAATTTATTTGCATCCCTTCAGAATCTCATCTTTTATCATTCCCTAGTTTTCCCTCCCAAACAATTGCCTATCATTTGAAATGTATAACTAACTAAAGATATATATAGAGATATAAATGGTTCACTATAACTAAACTTAAATATTGGTTAAGGTAAAAGCTGAAACCTTATCTATGATAACAGAAAAGCTCTTTTCAAAGCCCAATCAATTCATGATGATAATACATTTACATTCACTCAAGTATATTTATCTTATCCGATTTTTTGCTTCCCTTCACATCTTATCTATCTCGATGCTCTGTCTATTCAGATAGATAATAATAGATAACATTATCTAATAATGATAATAATAATGTTGTATTCAAATAATGTACACATGGAGATGATGAGATGAGTAAAGTCATTGAAACCTGCATAAAGATATGAGAACGGCAAAAAAAAGGTAAAATCACCTTTCAATGGAGTAAAGGAGATAAAAAATGCACCAGAATTGTGAGACTTATTTCTTGTAGCAATTATTTCCAAATCAATGATCAATTATCTTTGATTTTTCCTTCTTTTCTCCATGAAAAGTGCAATGAATTTTCATAAATCATTATTAGCAACATTATTATTCTGCAAGCTCTAATGATATTTCAACTCTAAACTTTTCACTCCCAGTGTTCATTGAAAATGATAATCTATTTTTTTCTGTTGATTATTGCCTTTGTTTAGTCATTAAAGTGTTTCAGATGTTGCCAAGTTGAATTGCTATCAACAAGTTATTAGTTGGATAAAAATGATTGATTTTTGTATCGATATTTTTTTTCTCACGCTTTTTCTCCTTTGATTATCGTTGGTTAACCATTGGAATAGTTAACAGTTATATAAGCTATATTAAATTATGAGAACTGTTGTAATGAGAAAGAAATGTATTTTTTCCTCTTTTATTAATAAATTTCGTTTTGGCTTTTTTCCCTTCCCAGTTCAGATGATGAACGTAAAAATCCATTGGATACCGCAAACGATATTAACTTTATCAACTTTATTGTTTATCAGAATAAAAGTGTTAATATTTTGTAACATTAATATCCTATTGTAATGAACTTATTTCACCAACTGTTCATGTGGATTTAATAACAATAATGTTAATAATGATGATACATTAATTATAATAAATAAGATAATGTCAAAAAAAGTATTTATCTTGAGCAGTTTCTTCTGATTCCCTGTAATCGTGTAATGTTTACCCAAATATTAATGACAATTATCAAATTGGTTCAAATGCTAGTTACTAACTTTGAAATATCTACATTGAACGTTGAAAAATTCATAAAATATCTCGATACCTCATTAAAGATGAGCTCAAGTCCAGTACAGTTAACATTTAGCCATCACAGTCATTGAAAGAGTCATTCACCGATTAGTCGCTTAAACGTTAGCAATCGATTATTTATTTGAAATATTGCAGAAGAATCGATCCTTAATCGATTCTATAATCAACCCGATATCAAATCGATTCACGGCTATGTAACCAAAAGTAAGTGAAGATCGAGAATAGCATTCAAAGTGGCAACCGATTAATCGCAATCCACTTACGATTCGAAAGTTTCCGAAACGGGAGACGTTACCCTATGCATAATTTTTTGTCCTCTATCGAATGAATATGGTCTTGATTGAAAATTATCGAGACACCTATGACACTTCCCTCGTTAACTCGATCTCATAAAATCGATTTTTAAAATTGTGTATTCGGAATGAAATTCAATATTTTTAAACTAGTCAATGGGTTTGAATTTCATTCTTGTTCAATGAGTTGTACATTTGATTGTGCTCGTCTTTCAATATTCATTAACATCTTGATTTACGAGATATTTGTCAATGATTTGTAGATCTGTAGATTAGTGAATACCATTGATAATGATTAAGAGAATGAAATGGAATGATGGCGATAAGGAAAGGAAAAGAGTTGAAGGAAAAAGTGAAAAGAAAAGGGAAAAAGATGTTATTGGAAGAGTTATTTGTTAACACTCATTCCCAGCATTTACGATGCTCAATGAAGATGCTAAGTGTTAGCAATGAAAGAAATGCATCTGGAAGAAGAAACAAGAAAAGAATGAGAGAAAAGAAGAAAAAAAACAGGCTGAAAAAAGGATAGAAATGGAAGATGGAATGAATGATATCTTTTGATAGAAAAATAAAGTTTCTCAAAATATGTCAAGAATACAGAATTCTATATAATATACATTCCCTGCAAGATGATTTTACTTCTACTTTTTTTTCTCCTCATCATCATCATACCAGAAACATTTCAAGATGCTTTTCCCTTCTAACGACCTTATTCATCCTTGTTTATTTCATATGGGTGTTGCTCAACTTAACATCCTCATCATTTTCATCCTCATGATCATTGCAGTTCGCCATCAAGAAATGCTATCCTTTCCCTCCAAAAACTGAGCTCAGATGGATTCCCACTTTTTTCCACTTCTTATTGAGAGCTAAAAGTTGAGAAGCAAAAATTCACGGAATTTTATCTTTTTTTCCTTCTAATAATTGAACCTTTTCCCTCTTATTTTTTTATACTCAACATTTTCGTTCAACTCTTCAGCAATAATATCTTGTCCTTTATGCCTTTTATTGTCCTCGATATTTTACTTTTACATCCTTCTCATCCTTATCTTCATCTTTTATTTGTCACTTTGTACTTTGCCATCTTTATTTTCATCACTTTTTTTTCTTGGTCCAAAGTATCAGGAAAAAGAGAGGAAACTTGGTTACACTTTTGTTCGTGTTATCAGTTATCCATTAGATAATGACCAGAATTGTGAATGATAACTTTAAAAGTTTACTGTTGAAAGTGACGAGCGGTTGAACAAATGAAACGGAAGTTGAACATCACCACCTCTTTCAACACTCGAACTTGATAAACTCAATGGACACAAAGTTTCAATCATTTGGCTTTCATTATTATCGTTGAACAATTGAAAGATGATAACTTGTCACCCTTTTTCGTGTTTCTCGCCTCATTATTACCATCAGCATTATTTATTATTACCATTATTATTACAACTATTATTTATTCTCAATCTATTTCCCTCTCTCTTAATAAACCTACAATGAGAATTCAGTCAAGATTATTTCCGGTCAACATTTACTCTTCATTTAACCATCGCCATGAAAATTATAAGTTATTAGATTTTATTCATTCATTAGGAGTAAGACAGGGAGTGAGAAAGAGGATTGGGAGTGCAATAAGTGAGACACAGTTGACATGGGAATGAGTTAGGAAATGAATACAGGGAGTAATTAAGGGAGTGAATTGAGGAATAAGTCAGGGAATAGATCAGGGAATAAAAATATAAGTGAGATCAGGGAGTGAAATAGGGGGAGACTGGGAGTAAAGGTGAGTTCTAGAAAATTGGGGGTGAAACTGGGAGTGAAGTTGGAAGTGAGAAAATAGTTGAGACTGGGAGTGAAAAAGGAGATCAGGAGTGAAAAGTGAGTTGAGTGAGATTGGGAGTGCAACTGGGAGTGGGAATAGAATGAACAAGAAACTCATTTTAGGATAACGAAAAGTGAATTTTAGTTATACCGAAATTTATTCGGATTTACTTTGATTCTGAACTATTTTTGCCGCGTAAAGTTTTAAGTCAAAAATCGGTTTGTATATATTTGATTGTAAAATCAATTTTGAAAAGTTTAGCAAAATTTAGGAACCAACTATTCGATAGCATATTTTTACTAAACTATCTTGATAAGATATCAAACTTATTCAACTGATTGATGTCATCAATAGCACGTTAAGCCGATCAAGATGCAAAAGATTTCAAACTTTTATGGATTCGTTTTGCAAATGTTCCAACTGTAAGATTAAAACATTTGTCTGATCACGATTGAAACTTACCAGTGATAATGAGTTTAGACCATGTTAAACTATTTATCTGTTCACCAGTCAGTCTATTTTTAACTGTACATCGATATTTCCATCGAGTATGATCCAGTGAAACTTTATCGAAAAAAAGTGATCCATCATCAAGAAGAAACATTGATTCTGTTGGATAAAAGAGAAAGATAGAAAAGTGAAAACGTAAAAGATGAAAATGGATAGATTAAGATGATATCAAGAAAACACTAAAAGATTGAGCAAAAGAAACCAACAAAAGAAGGAAAAGAAGAGAAAAAAAATCAACAAAATATCTCGCAAAACAATATGATATACAGCAAATGAGTTGACAGGCAAACAAAACAAGAAATGATTGTAAACTAAAGAGTAAAAGGATAAAGCTTGCGACGAGAAAACAAAAAGTACGAAGAAAAAAGAAGCTGACAAAAGAGCAGGAAAAGTAAGTGAATGAGCAAAGTCAATTTTAATGGTTAACAGTTTAACTTAAATTGAGGTAAGAAATTGAAAGTTTTTGCTGATGGATTTCGTTACTTAAGTCTTAATGTCTTACCACCAACTCAAGTCAAAACGATAAGATAAAAAAAACACAAAACATTGGTAATAGCAGAGAGCAACAACAAGAGAGTGAAAAAATATTTATATTTTTGTATAATCGAATAACCAATTGATACAGAAAAGAAGGAAAAAAGAGAAGAAAAAAAAGTAAAAAAGTAAGAACAAGATGAAGATGGAAAGTGAAGAGGAAAAAGATACAAATGGTAAACACTTTATCTTCCATGATGAGGGTAAAGGAAGAAAACATAAGTTGAAATCAACATTTTCCAGAGCATTTTATTCTTTTAGATAATTCTTTACCTTCTCAATTCTTTCAACTGTGATTTACATGTGACTCTGCATCATGCTCATCATCATTCTCTTGATGCTCTTATGATGCGAAAAGAACAGGAAAATTCAAGTGACTTCAAATGCTTTATTCAACCAATTATCATCTTTATCATGATCATCTTGTGCTCAACATTATTGAGAAAAAAGTGGAAAAAATTGAAAAATTTCAAGTTCTTTTCGTTGAACAAGTTTTCAATTACAAACACAAACATTTCTGAAAAGTTCATTTTCATGGACTTTTTGTTTCATGAGTTGATCATGATTAGTTGATGATTGCTTTGGAAGAAAATGATTGTTGATTTGAGATTTTTTCTGAAAATTCTTTCGTAGAATTTCTTATTTTCTTAATTTTTCTGGGAATGTTTCATGCTGATTGTGATTGTATTTTTATCGTCTTATGGCTTTTCTGGATATAGCAAACTATCAATGTTCATCAATATTCAAAGTTGTTATTTTGCACTTAACTTGATAAGAAGTTTTTTTTCGAGCTTTCTTTTCCTTTTTCCTTCTTAACCTTATTATTCTGTTTAAGATTATTTTGGTGTAAATTGTCATCTTGTCGAGTGAACGAGTTGGTTATGAATAAGAGTTTCAGGGGTTTATGAGCAAACTTCAGGAATGGAAAGAAAAGTAAAGGAGAAAGAGTTGGAAGAAGAAAAGGAAAATGAAGTGAAAAGTGGGAAACAGAAAAAAAGTGACGAGATTAAATGTTCAAGTCTAGGTTGATATGATTGATTATTTTCTAGTAGCTTATCAAGTCATAGGAACATTAAAACCTTCACAATGACTCGTTCATCTCACCAATGGAATGAAGAAAAGGAGAAAAAATGAAATAATTAGAGCAAAAGTAACGCAAATTCAATTCTAACGAGAAAAACATTTTCCGTCCATCTTATGATTTGGTTCACTAAGCTGGTCAATGAAAAATTGAGCAAACCAAAAAGCTAAAATGGAAATATAAAAAATTCAAATATAAAACCGAACACCGTCACTTCAAAAGCCTTAATCTATCTCAAAACTTGAGAATGACGAACTGAATGTTTTCGAAAGAAAAAAAACTTTGAATATTCATGAACATTAAGCAAAAGATCACCTCATCTCGAATTTGATATATGGTCAAATAGAAAGGTTTCAAGTTTGTATTTCTCGAAAGAATTTGGATCTTTTTCGAAAAAACTTTTAAACTTTTCGACTTCAATGTCAAGATTGCGTTTAACATTCGTTTAGCTTGATGATCATTTTGAATGGTTGAAGTAGACTGAACAGTAAAGTTGATTGGAACAATAAGATTGTAAACTTTTAGTTCAACTTTTATTTCGCTAATCATTTCGTCGACTCTTTTCATGCTCATTTTCAAATCGTTTTTGCACACTCTTCAAGTTGATTTATAAAAGATTGTTGTTGATATCATCATCCATCACGAAATGCAGCAAAAAATGCTGTGAAATAACGAGAGGAAAAAGTGGCAAAAAAAGAACTCGTATTTCAATGTTGAATGATACTTGTAAGCTGATCTGTTCAGTTATAAGCCATCATGACTTTGTAAGTAGCTTTTCAACAACAACAAAAACAACTAATATTTTCCACTTTTTTCTTCTTCCTCTCTTCTTATTCCCTTTTTTGCCCTCTTTATCCTCATTACGATGATGATCTTACTCTTTGCCTTCTCCTGACTTTCATATCCATCATAGCAGACCAGAGCAGAAAAATGTTGACAATCTTGTGGACAAGATGTTCAGAAAGTCAAAAAGCTCAGAAAATTGTTCATCTGAGTTAGTCAAAGCCTCAAAAATGATTTGCTTTCATGATTCTTTTTTATTCAACTTCACATGAAGAAGAACCAAAGAGTAAAAAAAACTTTTCTTTTTTTACGAAAAGAATAGCAAAAGGAGAAAAAAATTGCGAAAATGAATATAATTCCGAAAAGTGAAAACGGAAATTCAATGAGAAAGGTTGATGGATTCATTTGGATTAATGGAATTGATTGATTTCCAAGTTTGTCTAAAAGTGATTACCTGATGAGGCAAGATTATTTCCTGCGATAATCAATCCATCACTTCGTTGCCAATGAATAACTTTAACAAAATCCTTAACCATGGGAGGAACAGTACACGGAATGAGTCCAGCATTGCCAAGAGAAACAAATTCATCTGAACTTTGTATTGAATAATTTTCCTTGATAACTGTAAGAAGAAGAAAAAAAAATGTTAAAAATCTCTCAAATAGTTCAACAAGAGCAACTGATGAAACTTTCCAATCGCTTTATAATCCAATTCAATGGATAATCATTTCAACTTTTATCCATCAATTTGAATAGTTTATCAAAAATTGATGTTGAAATTTTTCCATGAAAATCTTTCGCTTCTTCATAATCATGAGCCTTGAGCATTGTCATTAGTTGAGAAAAAAAAATTTCATGGAAAATGTTGAAAAGTTTAAACAAATTAATGCCAAACCTTATTAATGTTTGATTAAAGTTGCAAAAATATAAATTATTACTGTTAATGTGATTAGCTTTAAGGGTAAACTTGGCTTTTGTTCAATCTTGTTTAGCTGATTGTTAAAAGCATTTTCATTTAATTTCATTATTAGTTTTGATTTTTGAACATTTTTTCTGTTCTTTTCTCAATCAATTCTTTTTGTTCCTTTGCTTTCCTTTTCCAATCCAATTTCCTTCAACACTGACCAATTTGCTAATGTAAATGTAATGATAACTTTTGAAGGGTTTCAAAGTTAATCAATATTGATGAAACATTTGGTTAACAATGGTGAAGGTGAAAATGGGAAAAAGTGTTAAACAGATTCAAGAGTTTAATTTATATTAATAAGCTTTTTGCCTTTACATTTGCTGGTCAACATGTTGATGGTGTTTCATGTTTCATTTTTGGATATTATTTTGATAGATATTGTGTTTGTTTCAGGCTAAAAACATGGCAATGCTAATGAGAAAAGTGTAAAAGGTCAGTTGGTTGGTTCAGTTACTTTTCATGCTCCTTTTACAATTAAATACAGTGTTTATGTAAGGATTAGAGGGACCAATTTTTTTTGGTCAAACCTTGCTGTTTCTGTTTTTATCATGATTTACAGAGGATTAAGGGTTGAGCATTATGAAAAGCTGTATAAAAGATAAATGAACCCACAATGTTGAAAACAGATTGACTAATATCATCTTAATCCGTGATTAATGTTATTAATCTTGTTTACATTCAACAATCATCTTACAGGTTTCATCCATTAAGCGTATTTAAATGGTGCGATATGGTTACAAGATAGAGTTTCATTTGATTTGTAAAAATGATCTTTTGGGAATTCCATGGCCTTTGATCTTCATAAATCTTCATAGAATAGGTAAGAATCAAATCTGCCGAAAATCGCTTCACATATTAAAAAGCATTGAATTCATATCGCAAGTCTTTGTGATGATTGAGCTAATAATAAAATCTTAAAATTCCTATTATGTTCATTGCAACTATTTCTTAGGAAACTATTATTTCACCTGGCTGTACACATGAAGGAACACGAAAATGTTTCAGGTGAAAAGAGTTGCAAGTTACTTGGACTGTCAAAGTAAACACTCAGCAAGATGGAGAAAAGAATTTGTTGTTTACCTTAAACTAAAGATGTTCAGAATGATGATCATGTTAATACCCGTATATATTGAGTATCAGGTAAAACAGATAAAAGTACAAGATAACAGGAAAAAAACAGCGAGCATAAAAATAAACATTTAAGTTTATCCTTTTCAAATTGTAACATTAGCCAAGTGAAAAGAGAGTTGAACAGAAAAGTAGAGAAAAAATAAAAACTGAAAAAAACAAAGCTCAAGTTGAAGAGTTTTTTAAACCTCCATGAATTACCACCTATTGAATGTTCACCCTGACAATCATCAGTTGAAATCAGTTCCATTATCCATGAGCTTAACCTTAATCATGGCGAGAGTAAAAACAATTGTTGAAACAACCACAAAGTTGATAAACAGAACAAGCAAAAAGATCACAATTTTTCAAATTGAAAATCAATCGAGTACAATTTATCAAAATTACAGTTTTACTTTTAACTTTAAATAAACGTTTATTCATCTCAATTGGCTTCAATCATCATCATGGCAACACTTAAGTGATAAATTCTGAGCAATTCAATGGAAAAAGAAAAGAAACTGAAAAAGTAATTTAATTAAAGATGAAACATTTTTGTTTTCCCAATGAATATAATTGAATAGAGCAGCAAAAATTGCAATTAGAAGGCAAAGGAGAGAAAATTTTTTTTCTCAATTTTCGTTCAACAGTTTCAACCATTTGACAATAATGTTTGGGTTAATGTTGATGTTGATGATGATGATGATGATGTTAAAAAGAAGGATAAAAGTAACTAAATAATCATACGTGTACCAAAGCCATTGAACAAGTTTTCCTGGTCAAAGAATTTTCTTTTACTTTCTTCTTCTTCACTCGATCAACCCAAGGGAATATTATTCTGTGTGTTCAAGTTGAACAACTGAGTAGGTCGAAACTATCGTATATCGGTCAAATGGATTGAATTAACCAAACTAATGGTCATCAACAACATCATTCCTGATTCCCTAAACAACCTCTACTAATCATCTTCTCTCTTCTTCCTTTACACTTATCTTTTTCTTCCTTCCCATTACTTCAATCATTTGCCATTCTTTTGTTTACCATCATCATCATCATCATTATCATTCCTTTACTTGAATCTGATTGAGGAAAAGTTGACTTTACTGTTTCAATAATTCAAAGGAGAATTTGATTTTTACCTGAAATCAAGAGGCAGAACCATTTTCATTTTTCATTGATTCCCACTTTTAATGGTTCAAAGTGATTACTGTTAGTTTAATTAGACGAGAATAACTGATGATTGTGGCTCGATTAACTTGACCAAGTTGATTGAAGGAAAAACCAACAATTCCCATGTTAATCATGAAAAGTTGAGTAATTATTGAGATTTATGATGACAATTTAATCTTTTCTTTGTTCCTTTAATGGCATCCAAACCAGCAAAATGATGAACCTTGAATCGTCAATAAATGGTTATTTCATCTCATCGCTAATCAACTATTCATTAAAATTGAAAACCGAATCGCCAAATGAAAGCATGAACAATGTAATGCTTTTTCATGGAAAATTTTGAACACTTTAAAAAGAAAAGAATAAATTTTGGAAAATGGAAAGTTTTTTTTCTCTATAAAAACAAAAATCAAATGATAATTGATGTTTACTTATTATTCAAACAATTTCCTAATCAAATGGGAATTGAATGGAAACATTCAACAAACATTGAGATAATAATCCATGAAACCAGAATATTGATGCGTGCAATATTACTTTCCATCTGACTGAGAATTCATTCGATTGGATCGATGATCATGCATTTACTCATCATTTTTCGTTCACTTTTCACAAATTAATTAAATCGACGAAAAAGTTTTGTCCATTTGATTGGAAATGGAGAAAATAATTTTTTCAAATTTGATCAACTTTTCAGAGTTTCTTGTAATGATGAGTTTCTTTTTATGAGTTTCATTGTCTTTTGTTTTATCATGAACAAATGGAAATCTATTTTTACCATTCAAATGTATCAAACTAAAGATGCTTCCCTTGAGAGATTGACACACTGAATTGGTTCATTATTTAAATATGGTAAACTTTTTAAGCTTTTATTCTTTGCCTCTTCAAAGGGAAGGAAAATTTTTCACTCCAAGCAAATGTTATCATTGATAAAACCAAATATTATCATTGTTACCAAATGGAAAAGTCTGTTGAATAACAAGATAATGGTGGAAAGGAGGAAAGTGCAGATGAAAATGAAGATGGAAATGCAGATAAATAGCTGAACAGGGAACAGAGAAATGAGTGAAAATCACAAGATTGGAAGGAAAAAAATGATAAGAATATTGAACCATTTCAAATTGATACATAAATTACATGATGTTAAATCAAACTTTTACATGATTATCAATCTACCTGTGGTTAGCATTTTATCCTCGAAAAGCAAATCTGGTGGAATAGAAAATTGATGGAAACGATAGAACTTTTTTCCTCAAAGAATATTCCATTATATTTTCCACAATTTTCAAGTCAACTTTTGTCAGTTCATATCGAACAGAAAACTGTAGATAAAGAACATGAAATTTTTAAGGAAAAGCCGCTAGCAAATATTCTGAGTAATATCTTAACAAACTGTATTTTCGCTGAGAAGCGCGAACGTTCTGAGTAAAGAATAAAATTTTCGAACAATCTCTTTAGAACTTTTGACTTTCGAATTTTTCCGATTTTCTAATTTTTTACATTCCCCAATAAAGTTCTGACGATGAAGTTACAGAAAAAAATTGAAATCGTTTCCTCACACTTGGAACGTCATGAAAATTGCTAAAAAATTGTGGCATGAAACTGAGCCTATTTAGCGAAAAACTGATTTTCTAAAAGATTTTTACAGAATTAGAATATCAAAAACAGAATTTGAAGCTTTTATGAATAATCCTGATTCAGAATTGCCTGAAATGATCTCATCACTTTTTGCTGCAAAATATTTCACCAAAAACGTTGTTAATCTTCAAATTGAAATCTTTAGTCAAACTATTAGCATAACAATTTACGCTAATAAACCTTGTTATCTATGCACATTCACTCCCTGTAAAGCAAATTGATAATAATTGCAAAACTTTTTAATCTTTAATTTTCATTCTTTACCTTGAATATACCTTTTTTCCCTAATCATTTTCTTGTTTCATGTTGAGATTAAAAAAGGTAAAAGCTAATAATGAAGAGAAGAATTTTTTTTCTACCATTTTCTTCTTCTATTCAATTTTCAGCATTATTCATCCTTTCCTTGCCATCCCATTCAACAGGCAGTTTAGGATGAAGATTAAGATTTAAGGTGAAACTGAAGTTGTGTTGATAACGCAGTTAATACTTTTATAAACTATTAAAAGTAAAACTGTAAAGGCCAACATGTTAAAGGGAATTGCGTGAGTCTTTTTGCTCTCTTCTTCCCATGATAATATTGCATAGCTGGGAGTGGAAAGTTGAAACAAGATGAAATAATAATCCGTAAAAGAAGAGATAAAAACATGGTAACACTGATTCAGTTTTTCTTCTTCTTCTTCTTCTTATGCCTTGATTGCGTGTAACAACAATCTTGTTTGTGTTCATCTTGAGGAAACTTG